AGAATCAATCAAAGAATTAGATTAATCATATAAGTTTCTTTTGAGAATGTCTTGGTACATCTCTGTAAATTTTAAGGAACAAGTTTTACTCACAATTATTTTTATTGTGGCAACCTGCTCTATTTAGAAAGAGGGCTGCCTTTAAATGGACATGATACGTAACAATCTTGTCTCTCTATAAGAAAATTAATCTTTGAAACAGTCTTGGGATTATTTCATGTTTCTAAAGCCATTAGCAAGGCCTTTAAAATGTGCTATTTTAACTCCTTGGGAAATCCTTAGCTCTTATCCTATAACACTGCCTCATGACATCATTTCCTTTCCTGCAGATCTGGTGTGGATTTTCCTTCATTGTGTATTTGCCTCATTCACGGATGTGTTTTCTTCTTTACTTTCTCGTTTATTGACCCATACAGTCATTTAACAACTATTCCTAACATAAAGATAAAGGACCCAAAGAAATACAGGACATTGTTATTCAACTTGGAGAGGTTACAATGAAAGCATTTGAATGAAACAAGTCAAAAAAATGTAAGAACTGTGAGAATTCAGAAAACAAATAGTTTGTAGGTTCAGTTTTATTTTCTAATTGCATCATAGTGGTAGTTCTATTAAGAGCCTCTGATTTCTGATAATATACATCTTAGCTTTTGCTGGAAAATGATAACAATGATTACAACTTAAAGAAAATAAGAAGTAAAATAGTTAATGTTTGTTCCTACAGTTAAACTGGTATATATAATTTCAATGAAATTATTCAACAAAATGCAGTAATTTCAATGAATTGTTTTTCAGAAGAAGAATCACAGTATTGAACCAAGTTTTAAGCTGTACACATCTCTGAAGTACACGAAAACCTGTTCTCATAGGGAAGATGAAAGCCAACTCCAAATAAAGTATTTGAGCTTTCAAGGGAAGCATCATTTTCTTTCCAAGCTTCCACCCAAAGTTCTCCCACACTCCTCTTTCTCATTTTCTTTCTTAAATGCATTCTGGAAAGATAATTTAAAAGGTATTGCAGTGGGCTATCAGGAAGCATATTTACCAGGTCTTACAATGAAATCATTGGGGAAAGGGTCCAGCTTTGAATTCCACTAAAATAAAAAAATTTGTAATATTTCCTTGACTCCAATCATAAACTTAGCATTTGATTTTCACCCTTCTTTTCTTTTCCATTCTACGCAATACAAGCTGAATTTAACAACAACAGCAAAAATGGAACTTACAGACTCATTTATCTTTAAAAAAGCTGCAGCTTATAGGATTTAAAATGTGATACAATGAGGTGACATTTCAAAGCTTATACGGGAGGTGGGATAGACATGGTTCACATCCAATCATTTTAAATTAAGCGTTTAGTGTAGGTAGCTGTGTTTGTGGACAATATGATTTAACAAAATGCAATATGTTCAAATCCACATAAAGAGAATTATTTGAAAGGTGAGTGTCTTTTTGCTCCTGGTTTATTATTTAAATTCATTTTCATAACTCCAGCTTGTTGGTAGCCTAATGAAAATAAAAATTCATAATCCAAATATGCCTTGGTCACTATTGGATAATTGATCCATCAGCAGGTTGACTTCTTCCAGCACTACAAATTATAATTTTAAGCCTTTTTACCTCAATTTTCCCCACTCAGTAAAATGGTATACAAATTTTCATCAACTTTGTAAAAGATCACCCACTTGATTTTTTATGGCATTAAGTATCCTGTAAAGTGTGCCACTCAAGTAGAACACATGATTATTTACTGTCTAGGTGCACATATTTAGATTCAGAATCATGTTCAAACTAGTTTGTCTGCTTT